TCCTGGGAGCTTTGTAAGACTCAGTAGGTAAAAGCTCTGAGAAACCTGATCTGGCCTCGTAGCTGACCCTGCTTTTGAGAAGGGGCTTGGCCTGAGGTCCCTTCCAACCCGGATTATTCCATGTTGCTTTGTTCTACCTTAACAAGGACAAATGTCAGACTTACTTTCTTGGAGATAGAGTTGTTGTTTGGAAATAAGCAAAACTGTGTCTAAAGCATGCTAGTGCACCTGATGGGGCTGCGGGAAAACCCATTCCTTTGTTTTGGGAAGGAGTTTGCTCTTTAAAAAAACATTCTGCACCCGATTCTGGTTTTCAAGGTTGTAGAAATCTCATCTGGCAGTTGAGCATTTTGACAGTTTTCTTTTCAAGTTTACATTCAGTCTTTAATGGTTGCTATAATTTCACTTTTAAACAGCACGGTTCTTCAAAGCCAACAGTGAAACAGCATCAGCTGAGGTCTGTCTGGTGATCATGAGGGCTTCTCAGTGGCTCATTTCTTCAGCTGTCATTTGTCAGAGCACACTCATGTAATCTTAATGAACAATGTGCAAAGCCATTAAAAACTCAATTACGGCTTTCTTTTTACTGCAGACGTGAGAAAATGCAATCATAAAGTGCTGATGTGTAAACACAATAGCCACCATCTGCTACAGAGTAGCATTTCAACTCCAAAAAGAGGATATATGTTGCAGATGCATCAATAATAGGACGCTTATCAAGGCATCATTATGCACCAAGCAGGGGAAAAATTGAAATTTATGGCCAGCCAGAGAGCACTTCATGGTTTAATTCCCCAATTTTCAGTGGTATGTTTAATAACTAAGAGAGAGTGCCGTTTTATGTTCCTGTCGTTTGAACAGATTTTTAAAAATGAATTTATTTACTGTCTTTCCATCCTCCTTGCTTCTGACTGATCTGAACATAACACATTCATTTTTGGTTATTCAGGAGAAAACCAGCAAGATATTAATTAATCTAACCTGTTGATCCAAGAGCACTAAATTTAATTGACCTGATATTCAATCTGCTTTAATGTGCATTTACTACTGTGTCCAATAAATACAAAACCGAACTTTTACACAGCATAGGTAATTTGTTTCCCCCAAACTAATTTTTTCAATTCAGTGTTGACTTTATAACATTTGAACTTTCTGGATGGAGGTCAACAAAACAATGAGGCTAAATTATTTTTTTCACTGTTAATTGTATATGCAATGGTCTAAATAAGAGTTTCTCCAAGATACCTTTTGTTTTATTCAGATTCTTGCCCGGAGACATTTAAGTGGCTTTCAATCATCCATTGATCAATAATTTCCATTTGTGACATGTTAATTTATTCCCTAGTTCTTTATATGAATGAAGATGTGACAAGTGGTTTGTTGGTACCAGACCAGATTGTATCTCTTTTATTTGCACATATAGGCCTATAAATTGAGAATAAGTCCCAGCAGCTTCAATTCTGTGTTCAGTCTAAAGAAGGCTGTCAGACTCTGAATCACATGATGTCAATTTTTATTAAGGATAATAAGGAAAACCACACTTGTCCTTTAAAAGGCTGTTTTGATTCCCGCCCCCCGATGGGAGCGATTTTCATGATCTCTCACCTGCCTCTAAGTGATGTATCCTGCCCAGACAAGCTTCACTGGGCATGGACATTTATAATACAACAATGGATCAGTGGATTTCAGCTGTTGATCTAGGAGCATGTGGAGCAACCTTTTGAAGGTCTTAGAGGACAGGGGACAGGATACCCATTTGAGTTCATGCTGTGAAAAGAAAAACAAAAACATGTACAGATGGGTGTATTTGGAGGCCAGTTTATAGGATACAGGGTATAATTTATTCACAGCTGAATTTTGTAGATGGGTGTATTCTTGTATCTGATGTCAGTTATAGTCTTGATGAAACTGTAAGTTTATGGCCCCTACAATGGCCAGGCTTGAGGTGTTGTGCAGTGTGCCTTGCCTAGCCAGGGGAAGGGGTTGGGGTGGAAGCTGCCACACTAAGTCTCTGCAGAAATAAGGAATGTTGTTGTATAGTCAGTAGATGACAAACTGATTTAGACAAGGTGAGAGTACTTTTCTGTGACAGAGATGGCACTCTAAGTGGAAATTTTTCATCTTTTCCGCTATCATATAAAATAATAGCTCTTATCAGGACTTTACTGGAGACGGTTTTATAGTATTTTCTCCTGTATCTTTAGTCATACTGTATTTAAAAAAACCCATAAGCTGTAAATAAGAAGCTATGAATAATTTGCATATGACAATTGTTTGTAAGGTTGTTCTTTTAGTAACTAAGACTATTTTGCTAAATGCTTTTTAGTGGATGGATATTTTGCTTGCTCGTGTTGTCAGTCGCTAGGTTCAGGCTCCATACTCTCTCTAGAATTGTCAGCAGTTGCACAAAAGGCTGTTGTCATACCACAAATAGCTTGTGATTCACTTTTTTGTGGGTGGCAAAAAAAAAGTAATTATTGCTTTGAACTTCTTATAAAAGCTGATGTTTTTTCTCCCAGAGGAAAGCTCATTATTTTTATACATGAATCTGTAAAAGTGAAATGGTCCCTAACTTTTTCTCATTGAAACTCTTACCTACCGCAGTGCAGTTCATGACCTTATTGTGTGAGACACGATACAGCTTCAGAGTAGTTCTTTAGGGTAAGAATCCATATATTATCCAAATTTAAAAGAAAAAAAAAATTGAGGAAGATGCCCAGAAGTGAAATGATGTGCCCTATGATCCAATCAATGATGGTGCAAAAATCAGTTTTCCTGGGTTCCTACCCAGTGTAACGGGCACTTGATCAAAAAGCTTGTTGGATACCCAGGAGCTCTGCTTTGCTTTACTGAGTGTTTTAATTGACTTGTACCATCATCCTCAAGTGTGAGATCTGGTAAATGTAGAACTTGCCTTCGTTGCAGCTTGTACCGTTTCTCAAAATGGCACTGAAATGCTGCAGGCAGTGCATTTCACAGCAGCTGCTGTACTCCTCTATGTTGTACTACTGTTTCTCAGCAGTTTTACAGTGCCTTTCCTCCCAGATTCTCAGTGGAAGAGTGATTCCTACGACTATTCTTGCTTTATTTGTAAGGGCAGATAAAGCAGACTATGTGTACTGACAGAGATCATGGAAGTGAGTGTCATAATTAGTCTTAGAAACCAGGCTGTCAGGATTCCAGCCTCCTGCCTTAACTATCAGGCTGTGCTGCCTCTTCAAGCCTGTTGGCAATTGTGCTTTTCTGATAATAAGTTCTCTTAGGTCATAGAAGCAGAAACCAAATCTCAGTTTCTCAGAACTTTAGTTTATTTGGGTGGATTTTTAAGAATGGTATGTATATGGTACTCACTGAAGAGGAGGAGTTTTTTGGTTGGCTGGTAGCAAATTAGATCAACAGTGAACATCTGTCAGGATCCCGTCTTACAGACTTTGATTATTAGAGAGAAACGGAGAAGTTTGGATTCAGCTCTTATGTTTCTCAAAGTCCTTGCTATGAATCTGCAGTTTCTTGATACGAGGCCATTTTGATTTTCAGCGTAACAAAATGGAAGATAGGACTGCCAGAGAGCATCTTGCCTATAAATTTTCATATTTCTTAGTACAGCCCCTTCCCCAGCTGTGCTTGCATTGTGCTTGAATTTTCCAAGGTCTCTAGAGAGTGTGATATTTTCTTTTTTTTTAAAAAAGGTTGACTTCCTTCTGCATCCGTGCTTTTCAGTCCTTTACGAAATGCATATATATCATGCAAACACAGGGGGAAAAACATTTTTGTGGGAGAAAGTTGCTGGTATCTGTTGATATAAATTTAGAATATATGACTGTTCACTGCACAGAATTGATCAAAATGTTTATCTGGCTCATCTGAGTGTCACACTGCTATGGCATGGAAGAGGGAAAAGTCAATAGGTTAGAAGTGAGGCAGAGCTTTTCAAACTCAATCTTCTGTGAACTGCAAGAGGCCAGCAGAGAAATACGTTAGTAGCATGCCTTGGCAGCTGCATCGGAACTGAGAGTGTCAAGAGGGATGCATTTGATTAAAAATTATTATGCCTGGCTGCTGACACACAGATTTCCCACTGCCCTCCCCAAGTCTTGGTATTTTCTTCCGCTTTTTCTGAGTGTGAGGGTCTGTACACACATAAAGGAGATCCTTTAAACAGAATTGAATCAAGTAACTCTCATAATGCTTTTCCTTATTGCTAACATTTGTCACCTTGATGCATCTGTGAAGAGATGAGTCGAGACACAATGTGCTGTAAAATAACTGCTTAATGAATCAAAATGCGAGTTCAACATTGAGTGCCGTGGTTAATACGATGCAAGCTTCCAGGTTAACAAACTCATAAATTGCCTTAGTATATATTTCCCTCCCTAAATTCAGCCTGTCCTACCCTCTTAGAAGAGTAATTGTCTGTGTTGGATTATTTCTAGTCGAGATGTTGCTGTTAAGCTAACAAGCCTAATTCATTTGGGCTCTGAAAATTGGGGTTTTCTTAACATGTTACAACCTTCAAAAGTTTGCAGTGCCAAGATGCAGGGTTTACAGGTATAGACTGGCATGAAGTGGGTGGAGGCCATGTAGAACATCAGCTGAGCAGGTCCATTGTTGTAGTTTTTGTATTGACTGTGCCTTTGAGGGACTGTACGTGGGCACAGAGCCTTGTTGCTGCTTGAAGTGTGAATATGCTTTTGTTTAGAGTCACTTTTATCACAAGATTATAAAAAAATAAAAGCAAAATAATATTTTTATTTTGATTTTTAGGTTATCTAATTAAAGTGGTTCTGGTTGGCCCTGAATCTATGTATATACCCTGCAGTTTAAATATCCTTTCTTTCTGTTACCTGACAACTAGCATGAAATAGCTAGTTTGAGTGCTTCAGATAAATGTTTTGTTTCCTGGCTTCTAAGGGAATCACTGAATGTTCTAATGGAACTGTTTTTACTGAAAAAACCAAGCAAAACCACTCTTTCTTCTTTTTTTTTGCTTTCCTCTATAGGCTCCTTCATGATGGTGAACAGCTCTGGGCGGGCATCTGGGCAGAAAGCTCACTTGTTGTTGCCTACGCTGAAGGAAAATGACACGCATTGCATCGACTTCCACTATTACTTATCCAGCAGAGACCGTTCGAGCCCTGGCTCTCTGAATGTCTATGTCAAGGTGAACGGAGGACCACAGGGCAATCCCATATGGAACGTCTCGGGTGTTGTTACAGAAGGATGGGTGAAAGCAGAACTTGCCATCAGTACGTTCTGGCCACATTTTTATCAGGTAGGAGTTTATGATATTTTTCTCTCTTTTTTCCTTTGAATGTTTGGCTAGGTATGAGCTAAGCTGTTGTTAGCAATAGATATTCTGAAAATCAAATCCCCCCTCCAACTTTTTCTTATCAGAATGAATTTACATATAGCAGTTTTATAGCAAAAGGGTTATATTGGCATCTTGACATATTTCTTCCTGCTTTACCCTTTTTATTCAGTTGTTGTCAGGTCACAGAGTGATGGATAGACTGCTGGGAGTCAGATTATTGGCAAGTGAAGACCCTCCTGCTTATCATGAAATTGGCACATCAACAGACTTGTATTGGCACTTTCCACGGCACTGTGTAAATGTAAATACAACTGAGTGTCTAGATGTGTAACTATATCTCTGCGTAAATTTGCCTGGACTATTTTTAGCCCTTGGTTGGTTCCATAAGAAGGAACATTTGTTCACTCAGCTTTGCATCTGGACTTTTCCTGTGCCTATATGAGGGGATGTAAGTACATAAGCTACTAATAAAATCTTGTACCACGTTATCAACACAAGTATACTCTTCACCAGATCCTGCATTCATCCTCTTTTTAGCACTGCTTGTAACATAATTGTAATTGTTCTGAGAATTATTTTTTTTTTAAACAAGCACAAAGTTGAGGAATGTAGTGGGTAAGTTGTTTTTTGGCTATATTAATTTTGCAGCTACTTGTTAGTTGTCCACTTCAAACTTCATGTGGCAACTTCGCAGTCAGTGTTTTAATTTTAATTAGTTAAGATTGCCCACAGTGGACTCTCATACTTCTTGTTTTGTGTTCAAGACAAAGAAAAAAAACAACCTGGGAGGTAATGGCACCCTAAACCTTGTAGGAAGAGCTAATGTACACATAATACTAATGAAAGACACGAGTGAGATGGGAATTACGATAGAATAGACTATAAGAACGCAGCAAATAGTCTGTGGATAGAAAACAGCAGGTGAAAAAGCTGCCTTTTTTTTTCTTTTTTTGCGTCTAATAACTGGGTAGGAGGTCTATAAAATCTAAGCTGAAGTAGAATGCTTTAATGTTCTGCTCCTGAAGAAGAGTTAGGGTTATCAGCAGAATACATATAGAGTACACTATGCAGGGTGAGAGGAAGGGATAAGGAGATGCAAATGCATGGAAAGTGGTGTTTTAAGGGCTGTGTACAACTTGTCACTTGTTCTGAAGTCATATTAAAGTGCATATACTCCATTCATATTAACACGAACCTGGTTGTGAACCAGAATTTGCTTCGTAGTAGGTGCTCCACAGAGATAACAGAAATGATCTTTCACCCACGTAATCAGTGCTTGAAAAACCTGGAAAAGACAGTCTGATCTCACACTAAGAGAGATTCTACTCTTAGATACACCAGTAGCAGACTTCCTGAGCCTTAACTTCTTTTGCAGGTCAAGTTTGCTTTTCCTGAGCAAAAATCCTTTAAATCAAACAAGAATTTTTTTACTGCAGCACAAAAATGAAGAGAGTGGAAGCCAGCAGTAACTACCAAGGAGTAGTTCCTTCCTAGAAAATTCAAGGGTTTTCTTTTTTACTTTTTGATGAACAAGGGTGATGTTTCCTTCTTGCTTATATTTGTGTTCCTACTCCTTAAGTGTGGCTTTTAAAATCTGGGATCTGTCTCACTATAACGAGAGATCTAATAAACTAATCTATCATCAGTCCCTGATTTTGTAAATCATCTTCTGTTGATGGTCTGCAATCCTGTGAGTTTCTACGTTTAATCGAGGTTTTAAAAAAAAACAACAACAACAACCCCTCCCCAAAAACAAACAAACAAAAAACCCCAAAACCAAACCAAAACTTTAAGCTTGCAAAAGTGAAGAGGAAAACATAGTGAAGGACTTAGTCAAAATTATTGTTATTTGGCAGCTTAAAGTAACACTTCTGGCTAAAGGAGGCCAGAGGTGGCAGGATGACAAAAGCTGGGGTGTACTGTTGCCTAGGGAGTGTCTCATTTTGCACTCATAATCTAGGACGTGCCATTGGACTGTTATTTGTCAACTTTAAATCAAAATTTCACACCTGGAGAACTCTTTGTATGCAAGAGGCCTGAAAGCATGTTCTGTATTTCAAAAGCACCAGGTAATGCAGGAAAAATCGCATTTTTTCTAAATAATGAAATCTATGTCGGACGAAATGTGGATTATTCTCTTAATGCACAGAACCACACCATCTTAAATAGCGGTGTGCATCGAAAATTCAGTCAGGCAAAAAATCTGAAACTGTCTGCCCCGGATCTGTGGCTTTGACAAGTACTCTGAGCTTTGGAGATGTGACTAGTGGAAAGCTAGTAACCGAGCCAGTTGCCAGAGGTCGTGTTTTAGGTCTGGCAGTTTTGTGTGAGGGTCATATGACTCATCTGAATCCAAAAGCAGTCTGCTGAGATACAAACATGGGGATGGTGGAGATTTATAACGTCTACCCTAGAGTTACTCATACTTGGATTCCCAGCCTGCAAATGTTTTTAGTGTAGCGACAAAAAGCCGTAATAGTTCTTGGAGAAAGGTAATACATGTAATCTTGAGTTACTGCTTGCCATAAGGATGAACTTCGTCCCAGAATGCACCGAGGGCAGCACTAGAGTCTGCCAGGAAGAGTTTTTTTGATGTATAGCAAGGAACATTATTGATCCACGCCTGAGGAAAACTGTTGTACCACAACAGATGAGCCAGGCTAGGTTGCTAACACAGACATTGTTGGTATGGAGCATCAGTGGAATGTAGGATTGTTTATTGGTAAGGAAGCAGGAAATGACTTAGTATTTGCACTTCTCAGGAGGATTTAAGAATGTTTTTTAAGAGTAAAGCTTTGCATTTTGTCATCTATATTAATTTCTGAGAAGTTCTATAAATGTAAAGCATTGGTAAATGCCTGTCTCAACCGTTACCCTACATTTCTGACTGAAGTTAAAAGGGTATGAGAGATATTCAGTGTGAAATTTCCAGAACTGGGCCCCGTAAGTGTTTATTCCTGCCTTTTCTTCATGTTGGGTCTCAATTGCCTGTTTTCAGGAAAACTTGGGTGCTTCTGTGCTTCTTGCTTTGACAGGGCTGAGATGCTGCAGAATACAGAAAAAGACAACAATATGGAAGTTTGAAATGGGAAGTAACAAGAATATCTGAGTATAAAGCAGAACAGATAATAAAATAGTCTGTCAAAACAGTATTGTGTGAATTGAGAGGGATCCTCCACTCTCTTCAGTGGCTTTTGCACCAGTGTGCATAGGTTTTTTAGGAATTGGCTTTGTTGTTACTGGCTTAAATTATATTGTGCTGTATTAAAGACTGTACACATTGGTAATTAACAGAAGACAATTCTCTATGTATTGGTGCTTACTTTTGCCATGCGCTAATAGTTAATGCCAATGCCTTGGAGAACTTTTCTTTCCAGGTGCTTGGCTTGCAGGAAATTGAGAAGTAGTTCGTTGTGGCTTATATCCTCTCACAAATGCAAAACTAAAACGATTTTGTAGCTGTAGTGTTGCACTTGAATTCAAGTCTGCAGGGAGCTGCAGCAGTTCCTTACATGACCTTCCCAGTTAGTATAATTCTTATCATGAATGACATTTAATTTCTAAAATAATTGTGATTTCCATTCTAAGGACTTGGATTTATGCTCTTATTTTATGCAGTCCGTAAAAAGCTTATCAAGAACTTTGATAACACAAAACACTTGTTGATGTTTTCTTTGGATTATTTTATATTCCAGAGACTTTCTTCCTTCTGTTCCTCCTTGGACAGCCTATTTTTTTTGTCCACCCTCCTCTGGAGTAGAACTTTGTTTCTACATTTTGTTAACACTTGAGCTTTTCTTAATTTATATCTTTTTGTGTTCTACCTGTTTTTATGATATCTTTTTTCTAATGGATGTGTTTCAGAAAATCTCATATATGGATGTGTTTTGAATTGGGGGAGCAGATTTTAGGAAGTCGTGGAACATGAGTAGAAATTATGTTCTGGAAGCCCAAACGCAAAGCAAAATGATTAACAGCAGTTCTGTACTTAACGAAGGACATACTGGTCTGCGTTCATAGCCAGGGCATGCAGTGATCAGCATTTGGACAGCTGAATCTCTTACTGTATTAAATCTTCTGGTGAAGGAGATGAAGAGGAGGCTAAACAGTGACAGACTGGGAATACCAGCTTTTATTTAGAATGAAAATAAGCGTTGAAAACTGGCTTGAAGTAGTTAACTTAGTGTTCTAGTAATGACTTTTAGAGGTTACAAATTACTGAAAGACTTTCTCCTACAAAACAAGTAGCTGCAGTAGAATACTGCTCTAATAGTAATAACTGTGCCAGCTGAACATGTTAATGAACTCTGTCCTTGAAAACATTGTATACTCATGCAAAAATGAGCAATTTAGTACAGTGTGAACGTTACTTTAGTAAGAGGGAATGCAACTGGGGACATCCCTTTCAAATGCCAAGGACAGCATCCATTACATCTCCACCCATTCAATTTTGTGGTTTTTTTTTTTAAATAGTAAAGCATAGCACTTCATTCCTTTGGGAAGAGAATCACTAACTTCAGAGGTAGCATTACCAAGATGTTAATTAATCAGTCTGCATTTTGCTTTTTTCTATTGCAGTTTAACATTTCTAAACTTCTTCCTCATAAAAATACCTCAAGTTGGAGGAGACCCGTACAAATCATTGAGTCCAACTCCCTGCTCCTCTCAGGACTACCTAAAACTCAACCATATGACTAAGAGCATCATCCAGATGCTCCTTGGACTCTTGACAGGCTTGGTGCTGTGACCACTTCCCTGGGGAGCCTGTTCCAGGGCTGACCACACTCTTGGTGGAGAACCTTTTCGTAATGTCCAATCTGAACTTGCCCTGATGCAGCTTCATCCCATCTCCTCGTGGTCCATCGCTGGTCACCAAAGAGAGATCACCACCTCCCCCTCTGCTCCCACCTTGAGGAAGGTTTAGACTGATGAGGGCACAGTCTACAACTCGTATCCTACAGTACTTTAATTGTTGGGCAAACTGTACCATATTTAATACTGTTTTCTCCTGAATTTTTAATTGGCTTATTTGGCAGTAGCTAATTTTAATGATTGCTTTATCAGTTTTTTATTTATTTTTTTTTTCCCCTGCATGACTGATTTTCAGATAGGCTGTGTATTTTTTTTAGTAACAGGATACTTCAGATCAGGGCAATTTTCCAGGTAAAAATCACAAAGCCATAGGGAAGAATGAGACTTTTGTTCATCTGTAATTGAATATCTGGCTATTCAGATTAAAATTATAGGAGTACTTTCATTATTGAGATACATAAATAAAAGAGAAAAGTACTAGTTAGTGTACCATTAATGTAGAGAAATACTACATGTGTTTTTTAAGAACATTCATTCTCTGACCGTGTTAGTTCAATCCAGGGAAAGGCAGAAACAACTTTATTATATCTGGGGAAAATCTTATTTCAGTCCAGTAACTAGAATCCAGGGTCATCTGTTGCTTGTAGTTTGATAATACTACAATGGCATGCATGCCAAATCAAATGTTTTCTCTAGAAGAATCCATGCAGAGTTATTGATTCAATAAGAGAATTTTATCTCTTGTACAACATTCTTCAACTTTCCGAGGCATACTAAGAACAAGATGTCAAATGATTATCCACTTAATGTTCAATGTTCTTGGATTGGTGCTTAAAGTGAATATAGATGTGTATATACACAGGGTATTTTTTGCTCTTCCAAATGAAAGAAGTACATAGTTGTCTCTAGTCCTAATGAATATCACTCTAACTTTTTCTTTTCTGTATCAAACGGATTTTTCAGTCTTTGGTATGCACGTACATACTGAGTTGCCTCGGTGGCCCTTCATTATTAATGATGAAATGCCTTGAATGGCTCAGACATTGAAATAAGAGCAAAATATGGTAACTGGGCAAATGACTAGTGTAGCTATTCTTTTCAAGAAAACTTTTTCTTATTTTGTATTGCAGGTGATATTTGAATCTGTCTCTTTGAAAGGACATCCGGGGTACATAGCTGTGGATGAAGTCAGAGTTCTCGCCCATCCATGCAGTGAGCACTCTTTGTTTTTCTAACTGTATCAATGTGTTATATACCAGGCTTTACAGTCTAAAGGAGTGATTTACCCAATTTGGTCATCACTAAAATGTCATCTTGTATCCCTCTGAGACACCTAAAGACAATCAGCCTTGCATAATTACATAACTTTGCAAGTTGTCGAAAAGGCAAAACTGCTCTCAGTCCATAACTAGCACCAGGACATCTGTGGAAGTCTCTCTTTCTCTCTTGTTATGAGAACATAAAACTGATTGTTTTATTGTTTTTGAGTTACGCTGCTGTAGAAAACAATCTAAAAAGCTTCTGATAATATCCTGTGTGGTTAACTTAAGAAAAGAAGAAACAAACAAATTGTTTCAGTATTTCCTTGGTAAAGGACATATCCCAAAGGTCTATCTCTCTCACCAAATGTTAAACCCACTCAGGACCCACCTAAAGATATTAAAAATAAATCTCATTCAGACAATACACTTGCACAGGAGTAGAAACTAATGCCAGTTCATTGCTATGTTCAAAAATACTAGTGCTGTCTTTCTTCTGTTGCAGCCATAACAATAAGCTTAGATTTTTGATTTTTGTATTTAAAGAAACCTTGAGCCTCAACTGAGTCTGAACTTGTTTGTTTTCTCTATACATCTACAGTGTGGCTTGAGGACTTTGTGTGTCTATATTGTATATGTAGCATACAGTTTCTTCTAAAGACTTTTTTTTTTAACAGCTCCTCTCACTAGGTCATAGTTTTAGTAAGACAGTCACAGCTGATCACAAAAAAATCATGGATCATATCAATGGAGTGAAGTCAACTGGTTTTCTTGCAATAAGAATTTCAAAGAACAGCTGCCATTCAGTATGACAGACATGGTTCTGCTCAAGTTTAACAGGACATTTCTGATAACTGCAGTATGGTTAATTGCTGTTTAACTAAATTATATTTGTATTTACCATGTGCTCATTGCTCAGGCCTTTGGGTACATTTACTTCATTAAGAAATACTTACATTTTATATTAACCAGATGTTGCTGATAACTGGCAGCATCCAAACACATCTCCCAAATGGTCTGCGTGCATTCCATGGCATGTTGGGCGATGACTGATCCCTTGACTCGGAAAGAGGCCGCTGAACAAACTATGAGGCAAAGCCTAGACAGGAAAGTTATGAGATTTAAAAAAAAAGAGACAGGATGCTGTGTTACACTCCTGCTTAATCAAGTATTTAAACTGATTTTAAATCCATGTCGCCAAGTGTATGCAGATCCCCCTGCAAAGTTAAGTGCATTCTTGGTGACTCAAAACCAAAATGATTCAAACAGTTAACTACTCCATTTTGAATCAGTTTGCAACCTGCAGCATACAAAACTCATTACAAGCTGCAGTCTTTGTAAATGCTTCTCCTGACTGATTTCCAGTGTTGCTTTTGTTGTTCGGCAGTGACAGCCACCAGGATAAATGTCACCGGAGTGTGTTCCATTGACTTGTCCAAGCTTTACCCCTCTTACTCGTTCTAAAATTGTTGTAACTCAAAACACAGGAACCATGAAGCTCCTGATGACCCTGGAAGTCACTGAAATTATTGGTGTTATTTCTTCATTTCTGCTTTACCTTCATAGATGACAGTATAACAGACAGACCTAAGTATCAGCAAAAATGCCCCTAATGGCACAGTAATGGAGAAAAATAAATACCTTGTGGGTGTTGCCTTTATTTTTTGTCCTGTGAAGGAATACACTGGAGTATCACTTTTCATGATGCTAAAAGCTCATTGACTATGTGTGCATGAGCACTTGCCATTGTGGTCCAGCCCTATGCTCTGGAAGCTGCACAGACCTGAGGTCTGGAAGTTTGGGACTGGTGTGACTGCAGTCACCTAGACTACGCAGCTTCATATTTGGGACTGGCTTATATCTGCCCACCTTAACCTGCAGGTGGAAATTACTAGTATTGGCCTGCAAATATCATATAGTACATTCTGACTGTCACCAAGAGGTAGTTTTCAAGTAAACTTTGATGTGAATTAGTGATCCCCAGAAAGCACGATCGTAGAGAGTCATTATCTTTCAGGAGCTGTCAGCAAACTGAGCATGTGGTGAATGGGATACAGAAGCTAGATAAAAATATGTGACATAGTGTGTAGGCATGTGTCCTCTGTTCACATGCCTATAGTAGACAAATACTTATCTGTCAAGCTTCATGCATGCACGGACACAGATGCCCACATCCTTTTGAAGCTATTTGGTTCCAATAGAAAAAAGATGGGTTGGTATGTCCTCTGAAATCATGTATTTCATCAGTGTCTAATCATACTAGAAAATGTAAAGATGAAGTTGAAAAACTCTGACCTTTAGAGTCTCAGAAGGCTGTTCAGGGTGTCCTACTAAAAGTTTTCAGATGGTGCACAGACTTTCTTCTGAAGCCCAGCAAGAACTATGTTCATTTAAAAGTGTCAGATTCACTACTGTAATCTTTTTTATTTTCTTGGAAGTTAACCTGCAGGGGTAAAGAAGTCTGGTATTTAGTCAAAAAGATAATCCTCTGATGTAGTTCCTTTGTGAACAAATGTGATGTCTGCATTTTAATATCAGTGGTTTAGTATTGAATTAATACTGAATTTTTAATATCAGCAAAACACTGATATTGGTGATCTTAAACTAATACAGTGATACAATACTGTCAGTTATGAATATTTAATATCTGATTTGATATTAATGATACATTGTTCTCCAAGTCTAGGATGTATCTGATAGTCAATAAAATAAACAGGAAAAAAAAGACCCTTGTGAAAGTTTGGTTTGGGTCTGTCATGCTTGACAAGCTCAGAAGCATTTGATTTTTTTTTGACCTTTTTAGAAACACAATTTTCTGAAGAAAATAAATGACTCAATTACTCTTTATAGCAAGCAGCAAGAAATTGTGCTGATGACCATGAACTTGTGATTTGATCTAAATCTGTGTTTTCAGATGTGCCAGAGCTCTGTATGGTCCCTTAGGCCACCCTCTGTCAGATCCATCATCCACCTTGCTCTGCAGTGAATAGTTAAACACTGAAGGACAACTTTATTTTGCAAAATCGCTTTGTCAAGGATAGGCCCTGTTGCTTTGCTGAGTGGTTTGTATCTGTGTGGATGTAACATAGCCAATTACTACCTTGCTCTACCCTTGCAATGCTTTGCATCTTTTGTTAGGAAAAGCACCTCATTTTCTACGACTTCAGAACGTGGAGGTTAACGTGGGACAGAACGCGACATTCCAGTGCATTGCTGGGGGGAAGTGGTCGCAGCATGACAAGCTCTGGCTCCAGGTAAAGTAATGCGCTGGTTTTTGTGGTGTGTTTTTTTCATTTGGTTTTGGTTTGTGTGTTTTTTCAAGTAAAATAAGTAGGTAGAGAAAGACTGGATGGTGGGGCAAAATCTTTTCATCAAGATCCTTTGAGAACTGCCTTAAATTGTTCTAGGTGAGAGTTTAAGGTGACAAAGTACAGAGTCATCATATGGAAGATGGAAAAAATGGCCAATGACCGCAACATTTTGGTATTAAACAAATACCCATGTACCTGTAAGCACTCAGTCATACAGGAGAAGAGGCAGGATGTGTGGAATAGTTCTTCGCTTCTGCTTTATTATGCAATATTCATTCCTCTCACCCTCCAAAAATGTCCTAAGCCTAGAGTCAGTGACAATATGTTAAGAAGGAAACCTCCTCTAAGGTCTGAGATTACTACCTGGATGGTGAAAACAGACAAAACGAGTTTGCACCCACTGTTTTTCTTCCTCCCACTTTCCCTTGGCTGCATTTCAGTCTGTCACTAAAGGGCCAAAACATTCCCTCTCTTAATGTCTGTATTTTCACCCTACTGGTTGGACTTGAAAGACTGGGTTCTGCTATTCAAGTGGCTGTAGTAACAACCTTAAGAACTCATTTTCAGTTCTAGAGTTAAAAATGGAACATATATCAAACTGAAGATGTAGAGAGCTTGTTTCCCAGTGAAGGACAAAATTATTTCTTTTCCCCTTTGTAGTGCTCTGATATGTGAAGTCCTATCGTTACCATGCACGGTACATAGAGCTCCTTTAGAAGCTTTTAAAATAGTTAAGCTCTTCGCTGCTTCTAAACTTCTGTGCCTTTAAACACCTAACGTCCCAAACAAGAGGATTCTCTTGTTATATGTACTGGGCATCTACATAGGGCCAACAAACTTTCAGAACACTTCAACCAGTCAATGGTTTTTATTCTCAACTTGGTCTGATGTGATTGAAGGCCTGACCACCCCATATTTGTGACATCTGAGGCAGCCAAGAATGGCCTTTGTTGTGGTTGCTGTGGCATTTGTAGTTGAATAATGAATAGATTTTCTCAAACTTTTTTATTGACTTCAGACATTTTAATAAACTTTAAATATAACAATTTCAAATCTAGTTTAAATACTAGGGGAGGAATTGGTTTACCGAATCATAAAAATGAAAATACTGGGAAAAAGGCTTAAGTTGGTGAGAAATGTAATTGGCATTATGTAAAAATGACTTGACAGTCACTTTAACTGTATTTTCATCATAACCGTTCTCCTTAAAAATTACATATTTATCTGAAAGTCATTAACCTCTGGTGTACTTTTAACATCCACCAAGATACGTTTTTGGCTTATTCTTTATCTTTTTTGAGTTCTTTCAGTGAAATCTTGCCACAGTTATGACTAGATCTGTGCAAAAACACTTCTGACCTGAAGCAGTATGAACCTTTTCCTCTGAGAAGCAGGGGTTTGGGAGGAAATCGTTATTGTTGCTAGTGGAAACCTGTTTTCCACTCTCCAAAATTGAAACATTTAATGAAAATAGCCTTGGAAACACCCCCAAAAACTGATTACTGGAAATTGGCAAAACAGCAGTGTGTTTTCCATTGAAACTCCTAATAAACTAGACCAACTGAACAAGTTCAGGTGTTCATGCTGTAGAGAACTGTTTCTAGCTAATTCTTCATCTGTCCCTTTCCTAGTTTGGAAAATGTAGTCTGGCATTGGTAGAGAGGTTTACTGAGGAATGTTGGACATATGTCTGATCATCCAACCAATTTATTTAAATTGATCCAGAATCAAAGCTTTACATCGGAAAACGCCAAGTTTATGAAATCAGTTCATTTGTAGGGTTTTCCCTGGTGTACACAAACCATTCAGTTGTCATACTTTCATATCCTAACCAGGCCTCTAAATATACTGTGTTCAATTGCATAGCCTGAACTGTCACTCTCTAGCCTTTTTCAGTAAATACAGTAAATCAAATGCCCAAATACGTTTCAAAAATTAAATAGAAGTGAGGAAACTTAAATATGTGCGTACGAATGTTTAAGCCCTAGTTCATACAACCCTGTAAATTTTTCAAGGGTATGCCTAGCACTATTGTCTTGAAAAACTGTGCTGGTATAAAATCTGACCTAGTGAATGTGAACACGAAGGTCTGAACAATGTTAATGAATTACACATGGATGTATAATTTGTGTGTCTTCATAACCTGTGTTATTTTTATCTGCCTTGACAGCAATGGAATGGAAGGGACACAGCATTAATGGTCACTCGAGTGGTCAACCATAGACGTTTTTCTGCTACCGTCAGTGTAGCTGACACCTCTCAACGCAGTATCAGCAAGTACCGATGTGTCATTCGTTCAGATGGTGGATCTGGAGTTTCGAATTATGCAGAATTAATAGTGAAAGGTAAGTTTCATTAAAACAGCAAGTTTATACGAGTATTTCCTTCCAGAAGGCAACTATGTATAAAAGTTGACATCCTATTGGACCTTCTTCTTTCATTCATAATAAATTTAAGCAAGAAAAAAGGGTAAAAGTAACATGAATTTCAATAATTTTCTTAAATATTTGACTCAAAACTTTAGATACATACAGCCCTCTTCATAAGCTTTTGTAGTAATGCATGGTAGCTATGGATACCTTAGTGTAGTCAGCTAAACAGTTTGGTTGTCAGCTTCATCTGCCTTCCTTTACAATGTTTTATCAGGCATAAATAATCTTGTGATGGAGCATTGCATGTCAGAAGAGTCTGCTCAAGGCTGCTGGAGGTAAATGACGGGATTGATTCTGCTGATGTCCCTGATGTACACAGTAGTTCTTGAAGGATGCTAGGGTTTTAGCCTGTTATTTACTGTGATTCAAGAGCTGATACTGTGCCTGACACGTGCAAGATGTGTCTTAATCTTGCCTTCATGAGTCGTCATGTAAAATGCTATTTACTGTACTGCCTTTTTTTTTTTTCTTTTTAAACTTATCCTGAGCTACACAGCAGGGATGCTCACCGACTGTTAGGTGGAGTGATCAGAAGGTGGCTAAGTTGCTCCTGAGACATTCTGTGTTGGGAGGGGCGGGGAATGTGAGGTAGGAGGAATTTGGAGTATGGGTCTGCTCACAGAGTGTAATTTTAGTGATCTAAATATTTCACTTCTCTGTGAAAATGGAAGGCTGCTGTAGAAATGAGATCGCTTTTGTCCACTGTACTACTTTCTGCCAGCTTCCTTTGTCATTTGATTATCAATATTCTGGTGCCTTTACAGTGCCTTAGAGTGTTGCATGATGCAGATGTTCACACTACACAGGTCGTGAAGAGACGCTTCTATTAGATGCCAAGTGTTTTTAATTCCCGCTCTGCGATCTTGCATCTTGTTCAAATCTGGAGGAATTAATTCATGATTAAAATGGAATTGAGTTGCCAGGAGTGGCATATCTAGTATTGCTAAATAGAGGGAAGGCAATCTTCCAGAGCAACCAAATATCAGAATATGAGAAGTTGAGTAGGTGCCTAACACTTTCATGTTCATTGATACAAGAAGGGAAAAAATAGAAGAGTAAGTTATAAACGTGAATGGTTGCATGTCCACCAGGAGAGATGTTGACAGATCAATTGCTGGATTACTCAAGCAGACAACTAGCTAGACGAGATTTTAGGAGAGTAATACTGTTGTGGGAAGGTACACTCCTCTGTTCCTGGCCCCTGTTTAGTAAGCAGGTAAGGTTAAGTGGTTCGTTTGAGGTTAGTTTGATGCAGCTCTGTGACACACTGGGATTGCATGGATGAGTGCTTCTAAACAGCCTGACTGATTTTAGTGTGGATAATAGCAAATTTGTAATGCATGTACACAGGCTGAAATGAAAGCAAATTGGAATTGTTTAATTCTGGAGAGATGTTTATTGAATTGCAATAATATACTTGGGTATACATTAAATTAGTCTGTAATTAAGTTTTGCTCAATTGGTTGTCCTGCCCCTAAACCGACTAAATCCAATCTAATACTCTGCTTCTCATGTGCTTTCTCTTGATCAGTTGAATATAAAATCATAGGGAATTTCTTCAACTTAAATATGCTTAAAAGCATATCTGTTTAACGTAAAAATCTGTTTGCTTCCCTATTCTTAAGGTGTTTTATTAGAGTATTGAGAAAGGGAAGAGTAATTTACATTTCTCAATATTAAATGATAATATTGGGTAGATACAGAAAGAGAGGTTTTGCTTAGAAATACATGTGTTTCTTCTACACCCTAAATTAGAACCATAGATGCCTATTTCAGCAAACAAAATGATCAATGAAATTAAACAGATGCCGCCTTCTGCTGCCCTGCCTCCCCAGGTCTTCCCCTTACTTATCTTTATGGACATCTTTACTGAGAACAGTGTATTATTGTGAGGTGATTACTGGAAATCTTATGCAAAAGATCATAACTTCTAGTTTCAGATTATTACAGTGTATTTAGTGGCAGGAGATACCTTAGTAGTACTGTGAAAATGCTTTTCTGTAGACAGCAGCTTGCTGTATATGCTAATACTTTTCTGTCTTATGACTCTGTCGCAGGACTTGTATAAATGACAATACATTTATTCTTCTCTGTGCACTCTAGAATCATAATAGTCAAGCCAGAGAAACCTATCATTTCCATCTCTACACCTTATCGTCCTTTGGTGCTCCAGTGGAAATAGCTCTTCTCTATTTCTTATCTCTCCGTTGCACATATAGTAATTTAATACAATTTTGTACAGGACAGTTTTGAAAAAAACCCAGAGATTCTACGTCTTGCTACACTGATCACATATGAATGGAATGCTTCTCATCTGTAATTTTCTTTTAAGTAAAAGCTGCGTGGCAGTTACTTATATTCTGAAATAAATGTAGGTTTTACTTGTGTAAAGATTGTTTAAAATACTGTGGAAATTGGCTGAGATCTTATCATTTAAGGTCTGTATTAATGATAGTGTCCTTCCAGGACACCTGCCACATTATGTAAGGTAGTGAATAACATTTGAAACTCTGTATGGAGGTTTGTTTGCAATTGTTTGTGTGGTTTTTTTTTTTTTTTTTCCCCTTATCCCTTTCAGATAGTTTGGATGCCTAAATTAATTACTCAATATATGGTGGGAATCTGTGGAGACGTGATAAAGAGGGAATATTACAGCATCTGTAACCTCTTTTTCATGAGCCAATTTTTCTGAGATTTTCAGTCTCCAGGAAGTCCCTCAAAATTATTTTGTTGCTAGCTGATGTAAATTCTTTTAAGGCTCATGGTATTTTCTTAGGGTCTGTTCTGCTTCTACAGGGATAGGAGTACTCAACAGATCCCCTGTACAGACCTCCAAGGCCATGTTCTAGTTCTCTTCAATTTTGTCTTAGTTGATTTTCAAAGTGTTTGGTTAGTCAGCACGAATGAAAAACAGTCTGTCTCTTAACTGAGTGACTTTCTGTCATCCTTGTGATATTTAGGATAGCTCATCTTTTATCAGTCACTCTTTTCTTGAAGTTTTTAGATGTGGGAAGCTGATGCCTTCAGTGACACCAGAGGGAGAAGTTGTTTCTTTTTCAGAGTTGCTTACTATTTTTTCTTTAGGTCTTTTCTGGTATGATGCTTGTTACTATAATTGCACTGTTTATTAATTCACTAGGTACACGGTGGAAACTGCTCTAGTGATCTGAGTCTCCTCCTAATAAGTAGACACTGGAATTTAAAAAAAACTAAACAAAACCCACAAACAAAAAAACCCTCATACACAAACACTAAACAACAAAACGCAATAAAAAAACCCCTACCTGTCCAGATAATTAGACATTTAAATAAATCTCTCTCTATAAGCTGCTTCAGTGTTAAATATAGTGTGCAAATTCCATTCACAATTATAAGGCAGACTCATCAAGGAAAACCTTTACAGGTATTTTGACTATCTCAGTATTTATTATTGGAGCTGTGTCTGGAATGGTTTCAGTTAATTATTAAGCAGCAGGAAGTCCTATTAGGAGAAGGCACTTTCTGGAACTTAAAAGTAGTAAGAAATAAAAATGTCTCTATATACAGCTGAGCCTGATGTTGGGCTGGAGCTGGCCCTAGAAATGTTGCATCAGGCCCTCCATAGGTTTCCTTGAATAAAACAAGTGCAGTGTGGGTATGAAAGTATATAATATGGTGTTATACGTGTACTCTAGAGTAGAGCTTGTTGCTGGGGTGAAAATATAATTGTCTTCAATGTAATTGTTTAGGATGCTCACAAACTCCAAAACCTTTCACTAAAGCAATTGCTAAGAGAAGTGGTGGATATGAAAAAGATTCTTGAAAAAGTTGAAGAAGAACTTGAAGTTTTTGTTTGTTGGTTTGTTTATTTTTTTAAATTTAATTTCATGCTTGATGCATGGATACTTCTATACCCTACAATATTCATGCCAAATGTACTCATTAAAACTAACATAATATCCTTGCTATTGTTGGGTAATTTAACTACTGTTTCTGTGGTGGTACTTAAGTCCCCATATTTCGCTTGGGAGATTTGGGATGTTGATATGAAAAGTAGGCACTATACTGCAACTGTCCTCTTTTGCCATCAGGGTGGCTGGAAGACTGAGTCCATTCCCTCCCTTGGAACCATTTAGGAAATAACTTCGTCTTTGGTATACATGTGTTTTAGATTTTACTGTTAAAAATAAGGATTTTCTTTCTAGTATGCATTAAGAAGCTCAGATAGGAATTTTCATGCCTTCCAGCTGCTTATCAGACTCATCCAGATTGCAGAAGTTACTGGGTAGATTTGAATTCATCTGCCTGAGTAATGCACGTTAATCAAGGTCCTCGAAGTTATCACCTTGTGAGCAGAAGAAGGTCTCTTGCTGGCACTACCAACAGGATCAGTAAAGCTGTGATAATGAGGGTTCCCCTCAGGCTGCATGCTATCTCTTTCTCTTTTCCAGTTTACACAAGTAGATTCAGTCTGCAGAATTTACATGTACTCTGCCATGAGAAGTTAAGTATAGATTTGATAAAGCGTGTAATGATGTTGCTCTTTTGAACACTATACCAACACTGAATGGGTTTTGTGTGTGTGTGCATGTGAACCATTTATGAAGGTTATGTTGCCTTTGAAATTACTGAACAAGGGAGAATGGCTTCGTGATTGTAGGGTGTCTGAAAAAGCCACTTAGATTCCTTTATTTCTTTGCAGTCACAGTGGTGTAGGGAATGTAATACTCCCTTCCTTGGTGTTCGCATCTGGCTGGTAATTACTTGAACTTGTCGTTGGCTCTGTTTAATCGTCTAGTTTGATGTAGTCCAATAGCAGTTGCTTTAACTCAGTTTTAATCATTAGGTGGGTGCGTGGTGAGAAAAGGGAGGCAAAGAGATTACAAACACTCGTTCACTCTCACCAAGAGCTTTAACTCCACTTTCTCTTCTTT